AGCTCTGTGTCCCCCGTGGGGAGCTGGTCCCTGGAGCTCTGTGTCCCTCGTGGGGATCTGGGTGCCATTTCTATCATTGTCCCCTCTCTGTCCTTTTTCTCTGGCTGCTTCTCTGTCCCCAGGGGTCTGAGCGGGTGGCACAGGGCTTTTGTTTCCCTTCTGCTCAGGGTCCCTGCTCGGCCTCGGCCATCACTTTCTGTATTTTCCGTCCCTCTCCCGTCCCCCTCATTGGGTGACTCTGGCACTGCACACCACAGCGGGCCCCGGGCCTGGCCTTTCTCTCCTGTGCTGGTCAGTGCTCTGGATCGTCTGTGATTGGCTCCCTCTCCGCTCGGTTGTCAGGGCGGCGCTGGCCCTACAGGAGGTGTGGGACTGCAGTGCCCAGTCCTCCCGCCGCAGGACTTCCAGGGCCCTTCTCAGAGCCTCCGCAGCCCTGGGCGTTTCTGTCTTGTTCCCGCCACGCCCTCCCTGTGGGTTCTTGTCATGTCACTGTGACGTCCCCAGCCGGCTCCACGTTTGACTGAGGGTCCCACGTTCTGTTGGATCCACACCCTGCGCGTCAGGCCCGTCCCTCGTGTGCTGGGCATGGTGACTGGGTGGCGACGTGCGTTCTGTTTTCCTCCTCTCGGGAGTGACCGGCACCCTTCTAGCACAACTTTCCCTTCCTGGTCGAGCGCCTGGCCTCTGGGGGCTCGGCCCCAGGCCTGGCTTCCATGAGTTTGACTCGGTTCTGCTGCAGCCCAGGGTGGTCTGTGGTCCGGGCATGTCCTGCTCCCGGGGGGCAGCCCTTCCGTGGCTTCAGTGGGAATATCCTGATGTCTTCCAATCCTCTGTCTTGCTGTGGTCAGGCCCCAGCGCCACCTCCCGGGTCCAGGCAGCAGCTGACAGTGTGGCCTCCCTGCCGTGGCTCAGCCCTGGCTCCTGGGGCTTTGTCACCTGCAGTTCGGGAGGTGGACGGGTTTGAGAGGCACTGAAGGCCATCGGGGCTCTCTGCCTGTGCGTGTCCCCTCCTGGAGCGCCCTTCAGGCCCTCGGGGTGCGGATCCCACTCCAGGTGGTCAGAGATGTGGTCCCACCTCTGCCTGCTGCGGCGCCCTCTGGAGGCTGGGGACGGGGTGGGCTTCTTGGGGACACCGTGCAGTCTGCCCAGTCACCAGCGGGAGGGCCAGTGGAACACAGGCCTCTCCACCAGGACCAGAAAGGGGGTCAAAGAGAAAAAGCAACAGTTTCAGTCTCAGCGAAGCCTGCACTTCCCGGCCTCCTCAGCCCCTGGCACAGAGGGCCCAGCCACACTCACCCTTCTGCCGCTTAGGAGCTGAGACAGCAGTCCCCAGAGAGCGTGTGCACCCCCATGGCCACACCCTGCACAAGCCGCTGCCACGCTCCTGCCCATCCCCACCCCTGTGCCACCCTCCTGGGCAATGCCCTACAGGGCGGCTGCCTGCTGCGCCTCTGGCCCTCCCTCTGCGGGGCTCGGACCCTGGCGGGGCGCCTCAGGCCCCTCCCTCTCTGCACCACCCCTTATCCACACACCCTTCTCATGGGCCGCGTGGAACCGGCTCCGGCAAAGACCTGGCTCCCCCTCCACCTGCCCCTCGAGGGGACAAGTGACGTGGGGGCAGCACAGAGACAGCAGGCTCTGTCTGTAGGGTCAGCAGAATTCCATACGCATCCCCGACCGGGGACAGGAAGCTCCAGGTGTTAGGAGGGACTAGAGGGATGGGAGCCCTGCCTGGGAAGGGGGTGTGGGCCTCGGGGGTGCATCTGCCCCGGGTCCATGCAGGAGTGTGGCCTCGAGGCTGCCACCTAGGGACACCTGTGAGTGGCACTGGGCTTGGTGGGTGGCTTGCTGGGGTCTGTCTGGGCAGTGCCCAGGCTCACTGGCCCTGCTGTGCTGGCCGCTGCTCTGTGCTAGACCCTCGGGGCTGCGGACTGGGAAGTCTTCCGCATCGGAGACAGGCTCTTCCTCGCCGTCGCCAACAGTCACAGCTACGACGTGGGAATGCAGCTGCGCAACGATTCCTACACCATCAACTCCGTCATCTACGAGCTGAACGTCACCGCCCAGGCCTTTGTCAAGTTCCAGGACATCCCCACCTGCAGGTACTGGGTGGGCTCACCTGCCCTCTGCTTGGGCACACTGGCTGCAGCAAGCCACCCTGCTGGGCCTGGCATCCGTTCCAAGGCCGACACTGCACGGAGCGCAATTTCTCTGCACGTTTGTGGTTTTGCCCTGTGCGGAGGAGCCCGGGGCAGGTCTGTGCCCCTCTGGGGAGGAGGTAGCGGTTCCTCCACGAGGAGCCGTGGCTGGTCTGCTTGCCACAAGCAGGAGGCCCCAGGCCACTCAGTGGCTCCTGAAGCTGCCCCTCTATCCACAACGGCAGGTGCTCTCCCCCGTGTCGGCGCCCTGCCCAGCAACTGCAGGAAACAGAGGCTTGTTGAGGCAGGAGTGAGGCTGGCGGTGTGGACGGGGTCAGTGTGGCCACCTGGTGCGGGGCCCAGTCCAGCTTGCTCTGCAGGGCACTGAGGCCTGCGCAGTGCCCCCTGCGGCCTCAGAGCTGAGCAGCTGTAGCCAGCCCAGGCTTGACCTGGGGAGGGACTTCTAAGTCTTGCTTGAAAATGTGGCTGAGTCTGCATCATTCAGACCCCAGAACCCGCCAGTGTCGGCCCCAGAGGGAGCAGCGCCTCCCCAGCTTTCCTCGACGTCTGAGTCCTTCAGGGAGCACTCTCAGGCCCCTCCTGAGGCCAGCCTGTCCCACCCTGGAGACACAGAGAGCACATTTAGGAAAGGAAATCCGAGACCCACTCTTGGGAGGAAGACGAGGGAGGTGCCAGGGGTCCTGGGATCCAGCGCCAGCCTCGAGCTCAGCGACCGTGCATCACGGTGGAAACAGAGTGTGCGGAAGGGACACCCCAGGCCCCTGACAGTGTCGCTCCCAGAAACAGGCAGGCAAAGAAGGACTCTCCCTTTGTGCCCACCACAGTCAATCGTTGATTCACAAGGTGCACAATGTCACCTTACTGATGGCTCAAGTATTTTTTAATGAAAAAAGAAAAACAGTCCTCAGAATAGAGTGAGAACTAGCGGTGGCACCTGGTTCAGACCCAGGAAGGAGCTGCCTGTGGCCTCCTGGGTCACCGTGGCTGCAGCAGCAGAGCAGGGCCCAGGAGCCACACCTCTGTGCCTGGAAGCCAGGCTGTTCATCAAGGCCTCCTGCTGAGAGAGAGGGTCAGAGCGACGCACACCTTAGACACTTGGGGCACGTTTAGAGTGAAGCCAGCGTGGGAATGAGTGGCAGCAGGAATGGGTCAGGGGGCGAGGCGGTCACGCATGGCCATGCCAGGCGGCCTCGGCTCCGGGCACCCGGTCTCAGCCCTCACCCCCACTGTCTCCGCAGCGCCCTGGACTGGGAGTTCTTCTCCGTGGGAGAAGATCACTTCCTGGTGGTCGCCAACTCCTTCGATGGAGAATCCTTCTCAGTGAACAGTATTATCTACAGGTAAGGGCCAGCCGAGGCCAGCCTCCTTCTCCCCACTCGCCTTCCCCTGCAGATGGCCACCAGCTCAGCAGGGCCAGGCCATGGGGAGTGTTTCCCAGTGCCTCAGCTGGTGCTGGGCCGTGCCTGCTGGGAGCCGGCTGGGCCACGGCCCGATGCTGACTGACCGTTGGAGGTGCAGCAGGTGGGCTGCTGGTGGGAGTTCCTGGAGTCCAGCTTTCCTCCGGCAGACTCCGGGGCGGAACTGTTCCACGTCTTCTAGGTGTTTTCACTGATTTAAGTGTAGTGAGTGGGGACTGTGTCACTCCCAGATGTTTAGCAGTGTTTGTGACCATCACTGACCAAGTTATCAATCCCAGAGTTTTTCTTAAGAGGACTAGGAGATATAATCACATCGGAGAATAAGGGCTTCTCTGCCCCTTGGATTCTGAGGCTTCTATGGTGTTCTTAACTAGTAGAACGTTCCAGAACGGTCCTGTAGCAGCAGTAGTGGTCAGCAGCCCTGCCCCCACCTCTCAAGTTCACATGGGACCTCACGGCCACCAGCCACCGACAGGATGCTGCCTTGGGCAGGTCTGAGCCGCTGGCTCCTTGGGGTTGGCTTCTGCTGCTCTGTTCACGTAACAATGTACGAAGACAGAGCTCCCCGTGTCTCTGTGACTGGTGCCACTGGAGAGGGTGTCACCCTGTATCACCTTCCCTAGGTCCCAGGTGCTATATCTAAGCTTTCCGCATCCAGAATAGGAAACGCGACTGGGCTTTGGTTTCCCTGGGGACTCCCCTTATCCACACACAGACGCACTGCCGCGGGCGCTGCACGGGGCCAGGGCCGTTTGGAAAACACGCTTCTCTGTGTTTCGTGAGGACCTTAAATGGGTCAGGTGGCTCCCAGGCCTGGCACCTTTTCAACCGTGTCTCAGAGACTCTCCAGGCTCCCTGCTTATTGGCCTGTCCAGGGCTCCGTCATCTGTGTTTCACAGGGGAGAAAATCACCAATTTTCTCAGAATTTCAAACTTACTGCAGTAGACTCTCAACACAATCAAGCAATTTGACAATGCATGTGGAAGAAACAGTTTTTAGAGATGGCCAAGAAATTTCTGAAAAAGAACAGTGCAGGAGGGAACTACAGGGGTGGAACAGGGTGGTCCTTGCTAAAAAATGGACACCTGATGGTGGGCTGGGGTGGCTCGGGGGCGCCTGCCTCCGGGCTGAGCCCGCTGCATCCCTGCACCACAACATCAGTGAGGGAAGATTTAAAAAGGGGTGCGGAGGTCACAGTCCAGAGGGCCAATGGTTGGTCGTCCCTTAGTGTGACCTGTGTTCAGCAGGAGGAAGGGCACACTGTTCTGTTTGCTTTGGGTTCTTCAGATTGAACCCAGGGCCCTTAACTGCTGAGCCACATCCCCAGCCCTTTTCTACACTTTTTATTTAGAGACAGGGTCTCGCTGAGTTGCTTAGGGCCTTGCTGAGGCTAACTTTGAACTCGTGATCCTCCTGCCTCAGCCTCCCGAGCTGCTGGGATGACAGGCGTGACCATGGCGCCCAGCCGGATGCGTTGTTTAATAAAATGATTCTGTGTTATTTTCCATCCAGCTGGCAGAAAACGAAGCTAACCCTAGTTCCTACCCATATACAAAAGCAAATCTTAGCTGAATTAAACATCCAAGTGTAAAAATACGACAAGAAAACGTAAGGCTTTGCTCAGCCTCCAAGTGAGGGAGAGGGCGGCTGGCCGCTCACACACAGAGCTCCTGTGGGAGAGACCACCAGGGGCCAGGACGGAGCCGACCCGCAGACCTGAGAGGAAGCGGGAGGAGAAAGGGTTAGAATCGGGGACACGGGAGGCTGTGAGCAGCGATCTCGGATGACGGGGACCTGAGTAAACCTGTGGGAAGTGACCTGCTCTCAGACATGACCCTGTGCGTTTACGGGAAGTGATCCAGGAAAACATCAAGACTGAAGCCACATGTGCCCTTGACCTAGGAGCCCGCCTGGGGACTCCATCCTGCGGGACGAGGCCACCTTGCACAGACACATCTCTGTGAGGGCCTGGCTGGGGCCTGCTCACGCCTGGGCGGGGGCTGCCTGACCGGGGCTGCGGGCAGGGCTCCCAGGGCCTAGAGCACGGGCGGTGCTGTGTGGGGTGTCTCAGGGCCGGTGGGGGCAGCACGCACCCCACTGTCAAGGTGACCCCACAGCTGCACCCCTTGGAGCCGCCAGGATTCCTGACTGTCCTCCGCAGGTTTCAGGGTGCGTGGGGCAGGGTCCTGGGGGGTAGGAGGGAGCTGTGGGATCCTCTAGGGGCCGCGTCCCCTCTGGGCCTCAGTTTCCCACTTTCTCAAGATGAGAGCCTCCCCCCCACACCCAGGAGCCCTGTAGGTTCAGAGGCTCGTCACACCGCCACACGTGGCCGGGGAGGTGGGGGACTCGAGCGCGTCTGGAGGCGAGCTGGTGACCGGGTGGTCAGGAGTGTGGGGCAGGAGGCTGCCGCTCACCCAGAGCAGCCCACCCACACTGGCCAGGCTGACGCCGTCCCCCACAGGTGGCAGGGCTACGAGGGCTTCGTGGCTGTGCACAGCCTCCCCACCTTCGGCTGCAGGGACTGGGAGACCTTCGACACCTCGGCCGGCTCCTACCTCATCTACTCCAGCGCCAAGGAGCCCCTGTCCAGGGTCCTGCGGCTGAGGACCACCTGAAGGACGGCATGCAGAGCAGGGTGGCAGGCAGCCCAGGCAGCTGGCTGGCGGCAGGCGAGACGTGGCCCCTCTGTGCCTCTCTGAGCAGGGCTGTCCACCCGGCAGGTGGCCCTGCAGAGCTGCGTTCCTGGTGACCACTGGCCATGTTCCAGATGACCAGGCGTCCTTCAGGCTAAGGCCCAGGGCTGTCCCCTGGTGCTCCCAGCCTGGTCCAGCAGGGATTCTGCCATAAAGGAACAATTGTACCAAGTTTTACCTCAAACACAACAGGGCCCCTGTGTGTCCCTGGCCTGGGCCTCCCCCTGGTGCGTCCCTGGCCTCCGGACAGTCTCCCCCATGCAGTCCTCACGTGCATCGGGATGGACACCTATTTATTGTGTTGTAATCGTGGAAATATATTTATATTGCTCTTTACAAAAAGCACGGCAGTGTCTCTGTGCTTCTCTCGGGGACCCGACTCTGAGTAGTGGGGCCCAGGCACGGCCCTTGGTCACCAGAGCAGGCAGAGCTGCCCCTTCCCCAGAGAGCCCTGCCCCTGGCCCCGGTTTACCCACAAGTGCATCGGGCTCACCTGAGCTCAGAACCCCAAGGCCACGCCCGGCAGGTGTCCCTCCCTTCCCCAGGTCCCCACCATGGAGACTGGACAGCCTTCCTGGCTGCACCCCAGGCAACCACCCCCTCGTCCCTCAGGGGCCAGTGTTCCGTAGATGGCCTCAGAGGCCTCCCTGGGCTAGGGCTGGCTCACTCCTTCCCACACCTAACGCCCCGACCCTATTCCGGCATGGAGACCTTCTACCTCCCTGGATGGTCATTGAGAGGGACGTAAGACCCACCCTGGAGCCTCGAGGAGGTCAGCAGGAAGGGGGTTGCCACTGAGCAAGTCCCTGGATTTGGAAGTGCTCCGGCCAGACCTTTGAGGGGAGGCCCTGTGGGCCCACACACGGTGGAGACGCAGGTCCTGGGAATGGGAAAGGTGCAGCAGTCCAGGGAGGGGAGGGCTCGGGCGTGCAAGGCCCTCCGTGTCCTCACCAGCCTGCCGAGAGCAGACACCCAGGGGCCCCTGCGACTGGGTGACAGGGCTGTGACGGGGATGCTCAGGGCCACGCTCCAGGGCCACGCTTCTTTGACAACCGCTTAGCTGTCTTATTCTGGAAGTTCCGAATGGTCTTGGAATGAGGGGAGTTTGTTGGCTTGAATTTCCAGGCAGGTACCTGGGTGTTTCTTTATTATTATTCTCTGAATCTAAACATTCTTGTGCATCTGTGAAGCCGTTCAATACGGAGATCTGACAGGAGAGCACAATTGACAAATCAGAAAACGCACTCTCTCTCTCGAGGAAACCTACTCATAGTCTGTCCAAATACAAAAGCCAGGAACCAGGGCCCAGGTGTGATCCAAGTCCCCAGATTAAACCTGTGGAAACGGTTTGGCCCCTTAGAACAGGCCGTGAGAGCCCTGCGGGAGGGAAGTCCAGGAACTGTTATAGAGATTGATGCTGAACCCCTGTCACTCACGTGGAGGGGCTGGTGGGGCCGCCAGCATCACCGCCCTGTCACTCACATGCAGGGGCTGGTGGGGCCGCCAGCCTCACCGCCCTGTCACTCACGTGCAGGGGCTGGGGAGACTAAGACCTCTGACAGTGGGCCTTGGTCAGGGAGAGGGCTGGGGGAGGCCGCTGCTCTCAGTGGAGAAGTGAGTTAGGTTGGACCCTTGAAGGGGAGGCTGACTAGTTGGGGAGGGGTCTTACTGTCCAGCAGCCGTCACAGAGGTCCTGCCCCTGCGGTCCCGGGAAGCCCAGTGTGGGGACTGAAGGACGCGGCCTCTCCTTCTCCTTTGACCACAGCTTGTGGAGCCTGGACACTGGCTTCTCATGCCAGAACCGGAGTGAAGACACCAGCAGGGTCCACCAGGAAACCCGGGGAGAGCTGGGGGGGCAGTGGCCTCTGGCTGCCCACTGGGGCTCCACTTCCAGGTGCAGTGAAGCCAGGCTCTGGAAAAGCCCAGGCGCTCTCACAGCCCTCGACACCCTCTGCCCAGCGGCGTGGGATGAGATCCGCATCTGGCTCCTGCTGCCAGGGCCTGGGCTGGAGGCCGCTGGGCTCCCTCCCTGGGCAGCACCAACACCCGCAGGTGCATGCGAGAAACCCCAGGGGCCAGGAGTGTGGGAGGCCATCCCATAGTCACCTCCCTGGCTGGGTGAGAGGCGCTTAGACACAGCAGTGTCAGAGCCTTCCCCACCCTGTCCCAGGTCCAGGGCTTGTCTGGGCAGAGGCGTGCCTGGCCACTGACCCAAAGACCCAATTGTCACCCCTGACCTTGGGATGCTGCCCCCCCCTTAACCATCACTGGATGGGATTTTCCCCAGAATTTTTTGTTCCCCAATAAAAGCCCACTCCCTGGCGTGTGCACTCCCTCCCTCTCTCTCTCTCTCTCTCTCTCTCTCGCTGGCCTCTTCTGTGAACCTCGCCACAGTGTTAGGTGGCTGGAGGCGGGAGCTAGGAGGAGCCGTCCTGGAGCTGGTTAAAGGTCATGAGAGTCTGTCTCTTTAATTTAAAACCTTCTAGCAGTTTCTCACGATTCCAACCTTCTTTCATGAAGCCAGCGCGGGTCGCGGGCTAAAAGGAGGACCCTGGCAGGACATGGAGGAGCCCCACAGTGTCCCCACCCCAGCCAGGCCCTCTGCAGTCCCTGCACCCCTGGACCTGCACATCCCTGCTATGGCCACCCTGCGGCCTGGCCCTGGGCCTAGCTCCATGCCACGTGGGCCACTCCCCATGCTGCTTCGGCTGTACCAAGAGTGGTCACCGTAAATCGGCTGTCGTGGTCAGACAGCCCTGCTGCCCGACAGGGGTGGACGGCAAGCCACACCTCTTTGGGTCGGCCTGGGGTTTCTGATTTTAACTGGGCCTAGACAGGCCTGGATGGCCAACAGTGTTGAGAGCCACAACCAAGTCAGGATGGCACCTGGCATTTTGCCAGAAGGAGTGGTTGAGGGGTAGTGCCAGCGAGCCATTGGGATGATGATGGTTAAGTTAAGCTGTGCATAATTATTGGGATGATGGCTGATTGCTGTAACTGGATGATGCTGGATTGGGGCAAGCTGTGTATTCAGTTGTGTATGTGGACCTCTGCTGTCCGGCAGTGGGGCGGCTCCTGCTACTTTGGTGCCCACTACTTTTGAGTTCTCGCGGAGTTCCCCTTGAGTTCCCGTTGTAACTTCTCCCCTGATAGCCCTTCCTCCTCTAAACTTTTTTCCCTTGTCTAACTCGAGAGACTTCCTCTTTTACTTGATATAGGATGTCTTCTCCTAGACTAAGCAAACAAGATTGTACCAACGTCCACAATGGTAATGTGCCAACTGGCAGAGTTCCTGGGCTTTCCTTTTCTATCCTTTTTAAATCTTCACCATGATGGTTCCATTGTGATATATTTAACAACCCCTCTTTAATGAACCATGGGCTACACCTTTGTATCGTCTTAACGTATGCCCTAACTGTTTTTTATTTTACTGAGATGCCTCCTTCCTCTAGCAATTTACTTAACACCCTTTTGGTTTGGTTTTCACTAATTTTTAGTTCCATATTTCTGCTATAAAGATAATGGAACCCAACAAGATAACACAAAACAAAATGGAACAAAAATTTGTTGTATCAGTTTTTCTATTTTCTTGACATGTATATCCGTGGTCTATCTCTATCTCTTCCTCAGGGGCGAACAACTTCAAACCTTGAGCCAACCACTTTCCCCAGTTTGCCTGAGAAAGTTCTAGGGACAGGCAGCTTGAAACAAAAACAAAACAAATCGAAACAAGAACACATTATTTTTTGAAATGGTCACCCATTCTCTCACCTTCCCTCAGGGGCCAGCAATTTCACTTACCCCCAAGCTTCAGGCGATCCCCGTACGGGCCACCAAATGCCGAAGTCTGGCTGCGCACGATTAACTGGGAGGTCATGAGCCACTTGTAGATTCAAGCAGGAACAAACTTTATTCCAGAACCCACACGAACTCCACGGGAACTCAGGGAACTCAACGGGAACTCCGCGAGAACTCAAAAGTAGAAGGCACCTGAGGTAGCAGGAGCCGCCTTATTGCCGGACAGCAGAGGTCCACATACACAACTGATTACACAGCTTGCCCCAATCCAGCATCATCCAGTTACAGCAATCAGCCATCATCCCAATAATTATACACAGCTTAACTTAACCATCATCATCCCAATGGCTTGCTGGCGCTACCCCTCAACCACTCCTTCTGGCAAAATGCCAGGTGCCATCCTGACTTGGTTGTGGCTCTCAACACAACAGGAGAGGGACAAGAGGAGGAAGAGCAGAGGACGTGGGGCTGTGAGGCAGGCGGGCTTGGGCAGGGAGCAGACTGCAGGGCAGGGGTCAGTCCTCGTGGGGCTAAAACCCAGAAATGCCTTCAGAGGTGGAACTGCCACACAGAGAGCAGGGGAGTCCCCCAGCACCCCCAGAACCTACCTCCACACTGTGATGGTCAATTCATGTGCCACTTGGAGGGTGCTTTTGAGTACGGTTAATTTGTAAATCTGTGCACTTTGTAAGTAGATCGGTGGGCCTCGCCCATTCAGCTGAAGGCTTGACTGGAACAAGAAGGGGGTTCTCCAGCCAACAGCCTCGGCACATCTGTGCCGTCCCCTCTCCTGGTCTCCTGCTGCCAGTCCACATTGCAGTTTGCACTCAGTGGCCTCCATAACCACGAGAGCCGATTGCTTGATAAATCTCTCCACACAGCCAGTGGCTGTTTCCTTGAGAGCTCGGCTCTGATGGGTTCAAGACCCAAACAGGCAAAAGTGCCCAGGTTGGAATCAGGACGGCTGGAGTCCAGTTCCACCTGCCACTTCCCGACCTGAGCCTGTGCCATCGTGACCTCTGCCTGTCACACTGTGCTGAGCCAAGTGGCACTGGAAGGACACCACAGCCTGCCGCGCCCTGGACCAGGCTGGCACCCACAGCTGCCCAGCCGGCCACCGTGCT